TGCAGGCTCCAGGTCACTTGGTAGTCCATCCGTCGGGGGGAGTGGGGAAGTCGACCTGGCTGCAGTCCCCAAGCTGGGGGATCCAAGAGAGGGTGGGAGTGCTCACCTCTGCCCTCTGCCCTGGGTTTGGGTGGAAGTGGACCAGCTCTCTGTGCAGGCTCCTGGTCGCTTGGTCGTCCTTGTTGGGGAGTGGGGTGGGTGTCGACCTGGCTGTCATCCCCAAGCCAGGGGATCCGAGAGAGGGCGAGCAGGAGGAAATCGGATCTAAGATGGGACCTGGTGCTCACCTCTGACCTCTGCTCTGAGTGTGGGAAGAAGTGGCCCAGCTCTCTCTGCAGGCTCCTGGTCTCTTGGTCATCTGTCTGGTCAAAAATACATTTAAATTATGACTTACTCCCAGGAATTTAATTATCTTTTATTTAAATCAATAATGCTTTTTATTTCTTATTTCAGCATTCAATTTGGTTTATTGTATCACAGCTTGGTGTAAACATTTGGGGGAATATGGAACTGTTTAAGTATATACATACCAACTGTTAGCCAAAAAAGTACATAAACCCATTCAAGAATAGTTTATCATTACTAAGTAATCATACATCTTATATGTAGAAAGCTACAGATATTTTTTCCTGAAATTCAATGAAACAGATAACACATATGCTTTCACTAACTTTATTTGTTACCTCAAGGAAGCTTATGCATTTGAATCATGGTTGCTTAAAAAAAAACTAGTTGTGACTGTAGAATTTTAATATATTAATTTTGTGATTAACCTATAGTTTTTCTTTTAATGTAAATTCTGATAGTTTTGTTAAAGGTAGACCATCCTTGAATTCTTAGTGTATTATTTGAATAGTACTAGCACAATAAATTCATTAACACCATAGTATGTTTAATGACATTGTTTTAATGTACACTGAAGTCTCTCTGTTCCCATTTATTTAGGACTCCCACATTGAAATGCATGTGTAGAATTAATCCACTTCTTTTGTGAACTGCTTTCATTGTATTTTGGCAATTATAATAATCTCATGAGGACTCATAAATTTAAATGGCATTAGTCTTTGAATTTGTTATGAATGAAATTTTCAAGTAGAAGTTTCATGGGATGAGAAGCCATAACAGTGAGCACTGGTATCAATCATCACTACATATTTTCACTCAACCTTCCTTAGGTTGTTGCAGCCTCCAGTGGGGAGCTTCTGTCATTCTTTGCTTAATTAACAGAGTCACAATAAAGTGAAATATTATATTGTATTTTATAATGTTGAGCAAATGAGTTTTGAAATAGCTTTGCCAATGTACACACATACACCACATATGTGCAGGCACATGCTTGCACACACACACATACATACACACACACCACACACACACACACACACATACACACAATCTCATTCTCTCGTGGGGTTCAACACAAATCTAAATTAGTTTTCTTTCCCCAGGTACAAGATTTCTAGTACATACACATGCATAAATGGATCACAACAATGGCTGAGCTTTTCAAGATTAATTTGCTTGACACTATGAAGCTTTTTCATATGGGGCAGAAGTAGAGTTAAGTATATGAGAAAGACAAATAATGCAGGTTTTATACATTAGACTGGGGTTATCTTGGTCAAATTCTTCCTGTGACTTAAACTACTTATTAAAATTACTTATTTTAAAATTTTTCTCTGTGGTGTGATTTACTAGTTCTTAAAGATTTAATATATATCTTAGATTTTTTCATAAACCCAACTTAGTAGACAAAGGAACTGTGGGGAAAGACCAGGGATTTACTAAGTTAAGAGGATATACAGCAGTGTGCAGTATATATTGAAGTTATCTGCCATCATGTTAGAGATAAAAATGCTTTCAGTAAGTAAAAAGTGATTATGAGTGCAGTTACTATGTTTTGTTTTGAAAATCAGATATTCTATTATTGGCAGATAATTTTTGGTCTCTGGTATGTGTGTAATTTCCCATTTTTGAAATTGGTAAACGCGCATTCTTGGTATCTTTAGTAACTATTAGCCACAGTAATATCTACATTTAACTTAGGATCAAACATACCTCATTATCATGAAGACTTCATTTTGAGATTTTTGTCAGGGGACGTTATTAAACATATGAATTATATATAATGCTCCAGTCACCAGCCTCTTGAAGTACTTGCTGGTCTATCTGGAAACTCCATTTATGACCATAGTCTGCATATTTAAGATGAAGGTAAAAAACTTATTTGCAGTCTATGAGAATTATGTAGGGAACTGAATTCACAAGACAGAGATGTATTACATCCTGTGTGTGATAGATGGACTGTTGTTGCATCCTCTTTCCCCCTGGCCCTGTTGGCCACCTGGCTGGGAGGGGAAAGAGGCAGATGGGGTGACAAAAAACTTTGGCATGCTATAGGAGATAGCCCTCTGGGAGACAGATTTTGAGAAATATATAGGATTGGGGAGCCTGGGGACAAACCCTAATTTGCATTAAGTCACTTGCTCCTATCACAAAGCTTAGTTTGTGGTAGTAGGGTCCTATCTCACAGTCCTAGCACAAGATGTCTCAGCAGGGATCTGTGCCAAAGGTCAAGCTAAGGATGAGTCAGGCATCTGGTTTTAGAGATGAGGTCAGTCCTCCAGGTCCAGGGATATTCTCCAGATAAGGCCAGGTAGAGAGCAGGAAGCTTTGCTTGAGGGAGGGAGCTCCATGTTGCTGAGCTATTGAGATAAGCTGCCCGGGCATGTGGAGGCTGAGACCTCTGACTAGCCAGCAATGTTTTCCAACAGTCTGTCATGGAGTCTGGAGGAATTTGTAATATAAACCAATAGGCAATGTAAGTGTGGAAGAAACACAACAAAGAGTTGTGAACCAGTAGGAAATCTTGCTAGAGATAAGCTGTTAGTTGTTAAGGACACCATGGGAAGAGAGCATTCGTCACCTTTTGGTTTTGACAGAAGCAAACTGTTGAACCAAGAGTGGGAATGATAAACCAGGCATAGTGGCACTCACCTTTAATCTCTCAAGAAGCAAGGTAGATCTCTGAGTTCAAGGCCAGCCTGCTCTACATGGTTCAAGGCCAGCCTCCAGGACAACCAGAGTTATAGAGTAAGACTCTGGGAAAAACAAAACAAACAAACAAAAACCTAACAAACAAAAATGGAAGAAAAGAAAAAAAGAGAAGAGTGCAAATGATAATAATGTGTTATAATTAATTATTGAAAAATTGACTATAGCCCTGGATAATACAAAAATACCTTTCATTATTTGGATTCTTTCTCTTGGGTTTTATTGACATTTTCAAATTTGCTACTGTTGGTCATACTGAGAATCATCAAAAGTCCTTCACCTACTTTGTGTAGGAACCAGGTTCCTGCCTGCCTTCAATGACTGAGTGCCAACACCCACCATCACTATCAGCCAATAAGACATTTTTCCATTACCAAATTTTCCCTAAGCTCATGCTCTGTACACAATATAAAGCCCTCAATCGCAGTCTAGCCTGTCACTGTCTCCATGCTGGCTCAGAGGCACCCATTTCATACCCCTTCCTCCCAAATCCCATAATAAACCTCTTACATTAGGTCTGTTGCATGGTGTTAATTTTGTGGTATTCCTTGTCCTGTTTGCAAAACCCTTTGAGCTATAGATTTCTTAAGGAAATTGTCATGTACTTTCTTTATTTGGGCTAAGTTGGCTTTAGTTGATCACAAGTTATCATTGATAGCGTGAAAAGAAAAGTTTAATTGCACTGTCCATTTCTGTGTAGTAGTTGCTATTTGGTACTGACTATTGAATAAATATATCTTTACATTTCTATCTGAAGTCTAGCAATAACGACTATAGTCTGTTGTCTGGCAGAATTCCCAATTACTTATGAAGAGACCAAGATCTTGACAAACAAAAGGTCCTTTCCAACACACTATGCTGAAAATCTTGCCAATTATAAAACAACTGCTAGTTGTTGTCATTGTGGGGTTTGAGACAGTAGGGATTTGCATGACTTTTTATTTTTTACTCTGTAGGGTCTAGCCAAAATTTTTTGGCTTCATTTTAGACAGCATTAAGTTTCCTGGAAATGCCAAAGGATCAGGTCCATGGAAGCTGACTTTGTCCCTAATTATTTATAGTTTATTCTATTCCCAAGCAAAGCCACTTGAGGACAAGTCTGCTGTGGTGCTGTGAGTACATGTATAAGGGCCTTAGGAGTCTTCTCCACACACACATACATTTGACATTACACACTACATAAAGGTTTGCCTTCAAAACACATTTCAAGAGTTTTTCACATTTTAGACGGAGTGTATGGGAATCGGCATTTATATCCAAACTCAGAAAAGTTAGGCTCATGTCTGGTATAATTAGTTACTTTCTTATATTTTCTTGGCAGTTTGGTTTATGGAGACTGTCTTAAGTATCTGTGTGTAAAGGACTAAGGAGACAAGTGTGAAAAGTGACTTTAGAAGTATCTTTTCATATGTAAATAAATTGACACACAGAGAAATGATATGTCTTAGTCCAGTCTCTGCTGTACCTAGATAGAGCACAGGTTCTCTAATGTTTCATGTTTTACTAGATTGAGAAAAAAAAACCAACACGGCTGATTTCAGCATGAAAGTAAATATCCATCTTTCTGTACCTAGGACATCTTTCTAGAGTGCTCCCACCCTCTGAGTGTCATGGCAAAGGTCGCCTCTCTGTAGTCATTCCTGATTAGTTCCCTGTTGAGCCTTGAACTCAGTTGTTTGGGAAACATTATTTTCAGTGAAGTCTATACATTTTCCCCTCATCAATAGTTTCACTTTGTTTCTTTATAGTGCTTATTACAGGAGGTCATTTCAAAACTTCTTTTTATTATTAGTAGTAATACCTTTATGATAAAGCCTATTTGAACTCAGAGATATTATTTTATTTCAAAAGGATTGGTTTAGAATAGAATTTACAGTGTTTCATGGATGAAAGTATTTGATCTATTTCTAAATGTCTTTTTGTATCTCTCTGCTAAAATCCATTAGGTGCATGGCCTTGGTAATTGCCTGTGGATACAAGTAAAGTTTGAACCATAGAATCAACTCCAGTACTTCTTGATAAGTCATCAGAGAAGCAAAGCAGCTAGCCACCAGAGAACTCTTACCTCTACCAAGGTTGGAAGGGATCCTGTCCTCACCACGGCTGGTGACTAATTGCCCAAAGACTGACTACTGAATGCCCTGCTCCTATCTTTTATACTTCTCTAGTGCTGAGATTAAAGGTGTGAGCTCTGTTTATCTTTTAGACTGATTCACTCTCATGTAGCCCTGGGTGGCCTTGAACTCACAGAAATTCATCTGCTTCTGTCTCCTGAGTCCTGGGATTTAAGGTGTGTGCCACCACTGCCCAGCTTCTAGTGACATGACTAGCTTTGCATTCTGATCTTCAGTGACTTTATTAGACCATAAACAATGTATCACCACATATTACTACTTAAGTTAAAATAAATTAGTTAAAGTATGCTCTGAGACATTGGCTGAGTATGTTGGTGAATGATTATCATCCCAACACTTGAGATGCAGAGGCAGGAAGATCATGACAATTTTGAGATCTGCTTGGTTTCATGGCCAGGGCTATGTAGCAATGTTCTTTTTAAAGCACATAAAGAACAAAAATTCATTTGCTTAAATGAGCCTTATTTTGAGTAATTTACAGCCACATATGGTTAGTAGCTATCATATTGAACCATGTGCACAGGATAATCTCTGTTACTACAGAAGGTTCTATGGACTACTCTACTCTGGAAATATGAATGATCTTCTAAGAATCCTTACATTCAAAATATCTGCTGTACTTAAAATATATATCAATTTAGTAAATGTATCAAGTGTATGGGTTGTGTATTAGTAACAGGAATGACACTGATATTTTTGTATTATTCTGTTTACTTTGTCACTTTCTAGGCTAACAGTTCTGAGATTTAAAATCTTAGAAAATTTATTACTTTTCAACTTCTATCTTTAAAAATGGGTGACATATTACTTGACAGTGCTGGTTCCAAAATAAGATGGTATAATTCAGTCACAAGGATGTTTAAGTTACTGTCTCTTCCTCCCATAATACATAGGAATAATTAGTGGCTGTCATTCAACATAGTTATGTCATAGGTCTTTAGGAAGTTCTCAAGTTAAACAAAAGGCACTGAGAGATTCACTTCATAGGTCATGTTTCTAATGATTCTTAAAACATTTATCAGTCTTAGAGGAGTTCAGAAATAATTTAAACATTTTTTGTTATGCTTACAGGTTGTCTCATTTACAGAGTCGCTATAGTTTCTACTTGTGGGTGAAATAAATGTGTGAGGGAGGAACACAAACTGAAAATCAGCTTTAATACAGGTTGAGATAAACAAGATTCTTTCAAACAATTACATAATAATCATGCCAGATTTGTTATAATTCATTGACATACTCTTTATGAAATAGCCACTTGTTCTTCTCCAGGTAAGTATGTGAAACCTAGTCCAGAGCAAAGTTCTCGTGTGTAATTATTTACAACACCAATGATTGCGGGGAACTCACTGAGCTCATGCCAGTCATCTACATTTTCTTTTTAAATGAAGATCTTGAAAGTCAACATCCAGTTGATTTCCTCCCCTTGTATGCTCTTGCTCTGCTTTGCCATTTAGAGAATGCTTTTACAGTTGGCATTTTGCTTGTCTTTACTTTTGGCATAGATGTCAAGATTGGCAAGGATTATTATTAATTTTTAAAATTTGTTCCAGCTTTTAAATTTTTTGTTCATGTTTGTGATGAGGTTGCTTTGCTCTATCATGTGACTGTTGCTTCTTTGAAGCATCGTTTCCATTTCCCCCAGCTCTGGGTGCTTTAAAGAATTTCACTTTGTCTTTGGTTACCCTATATTTGGATGATAACAAGAATAGATGTGGCTTGATGTGTCTTGGGTTCTAAGCTACTTGAATCTGTGACTTTCTGGATCACGTCAGTCTGGTGAATTCGGGGTTATTTCTTACTATTGCTTTGTCTTTTTCCTCCTTCACTCTCCTGGGAGTCTAAATATATTTTTTTATGATTGGCATTCATTTCAGTATTTTTCACTTCTTATGATCTCTGTGAGCTATGCTCTTACTATTGAACTCATTTAAAATATTTGTTGACCTGAATCCCAGCCCGGAAGCCTTGTCAGAGAAAGATCCGAGCTTTAGACCTGGAGCAGCATCAAGGGAGCCATAGAGCCTCAATTTCATAGTAACAATACTGGACTGCATAATGAGTTGGGATCTTGATTATTTTTGTCATTTTTAAAATTGTTTTGATGCTCTTTTCCATTGAATAGTAAATGTTGTATATAAAATACAGAAATTCTAAACAATAGTGTTTATTTCCTGAAAGACTTTTTTTTATTGGGTTTAAAATTTGAAACATAGCTCTTCTCAGTGCTGGGTTTCTGTCTTCCACAGGTCTAACCTGATTTTGGCTTGCCATTGCTTCCAAGGCATGAATTTCTTCTTGGGCAGAACCTGTCTGGAGTCACAGTGGTACTCCTGTAGTATTTACCTGACGCCTTCCAGATATCTGCATGAGACAACTGAAACCTCTGCTCATAACTCAAATCTCTCAGCATATCTTTGTGTTTGATTTCTTGTTGTTCTAATAAAGCATCAGTAGTTTAGGACCCTGGGATTATTTTAAGATAAACTGCACACTGACTTCTGGGCTCACTTGTTTTAGATCTTGGCCTTGAAATCTCAGATGACTGGAAGTCTTGAATGCCAAACTCTCTTTTTTCTGCCCTTTGAAACTTTAGCAACCTCCAGGGAAAAACCCTTTACATGGGTGCCCTCCTGTTTGTTATTCCCCAGACTGGCAAATACCTCAAGTAAAATGCAGGGGCAAATGTGGCATTGACTGTGGTATGTTTTGCTTCCCTCTTGAAACCAGGTCCCTGAAGTTCTGACAGCTTTGCCTGTTAAATCAGACAGACCTTTTATCCAGGTGGCATGATTGTTCCTTCTAGGATACTCAGAGAGAAGGGGCTTCATGAGGCTGGAGGGTGTTAAACATCTTGAAATGTATTGTATTTCCAATGAACTTGTAAGGTAAGCCTGACATGAAAATGAGTCTGAGGAAAGTCACACTACCTGCTGTAGTGAAATGGAGCAAGGGGGGTTCTGGGTTTGGGATGTCCTCTAGGATAACAGAGACCTACGAATGGCTCAAAGGGGTAAGGTCCTACACAATCAGTAGGCACCAACGCCCACCTAATGGGTCTATGACTCCCAGGTATGTTGCCTTATGAACTTGAAGAATGGTATTTCACATACAGAAGAGTTTTGGAAAGGAGTTTTATTTTAGGCAAGCAGAGCTCCTGCAGAGCAAGAGTGGGTCCCCCAAAAGGGTTGTCACTGAGAGTACGTAGGAGCTCATAAGTCTTTACTGGGTTGAGACACGAAGAGTAAGCTGGTGCGTCCAGTTAGCTTCTACACATGGTGTCCACGTGCCTCTCCAGCCCAGTGTTTCAGGCACACGTAAAGGGCCAATGATGTGTTTGTTCATGCATAGCCTTCTATGAGATGCCAGTGCTGTGTAAAGGAGAATAAAGATTAAAACCAGAACACAGATTAGTGACCCTAGGTCGTTTTAGTGTTCCTAGCTTCTGGCCAGGAAAAACTGGTTTGGTTTCTGTGCACAACGTAAATGGTTGACAAGGACAAGAAGCAGAGCCCACCCTCACCACTGGTCAGAGCCTGACCGGTATGTTTACTCTGTTCTCATCAATGGCACAAGCTAATGAGAGACATCAGTGATGCTAGAGTTCAGGTCCAATATTTAGATTCTTACTGTCGGTCAAAGCCTGAAACGTTTCATATTTCAGTTCCAGATTTCACGAGACTTTAAATAAAATACATTTGATCCTATTGTTTTAAATATGCATTTTCCATCTTTACTAATATATTCTGCTAAAAGACATTTCTGAACACAATATGATACTATAACACATTTATGCTTTTAAAATTGACACAGATGCATGTGGTTTGCATCATTTTCTATTTTAGTTTGGGCAGAATGCATAAAGTCTCCTGATGCATTTTCTGTAGGAATATTGGATGAATGTTTTGAAATTTGGCTTGAGCCAATCATTATCTGAGTGTCTGAAACCCTGATCCTTATTGCTTCACTTCATCATTGATAATGATGCCGATTAGCGAGAAGATTTTCCAACATCTATACTTCTAATGCTCTATGCATTTTTCATTCTCCCTTAAAATCCCAATTTCTCCTCTGATGGTCTTCTTTCTAGTTTTAGGATGTGTATCCCCAACACACAATATTCACACATTAAAAATTAGAATTTAGGATCCAGATATGAGAGAATATATACAGTATTTGGCCAAGTGCTATAATATTTCCAGTTTCACCCTTTACTGAGAAGGTTGTGATTTTGTTTTTGTTTATGACTGAGTAAAATTTCATGATGTATATGTATACCACTTTCTCTATTCTTTCCTCTCTGATGGACTCATAAGCTGGTTCCAGTTCTCAACTGTTGTGAATAAATGTAGATCACAGGTTTCTTTGTATTAGGACTTAGTGTTACGGTTATATACTTGGGCTTCTGGAATCTTAAAGTCATGTTCTATGAAGCTATTTTAAAAGATGCCTGAAAGGACAATGGGAAGAAGAGCAGAGGTTCAAGCAAACAGGAGACAGAGGGAGTTTAAACACTCTCTCTGGGGGGGGGGTGTATATTGAGTGTTATACCTGAGTATTAAAACAGGAAGCAGCAGAATTATTCAACTTGAAGAATTCCTCAAAATGGACTTCCATTAATTAGCATAATGATGGAACCCATGACATCCACAGGGTGGGATAACAATAATTTCACACTGCCAGATTGGGAAAGGTAATGGTAGTGTCCTTAGCAGAATATTTCTTTGATTATAGTTGACATATAAAATATTTTCAAAGTGTTTTACACTTGCTATTTCTCTGACTCCCCCACAGACATGCTGCCAGGAAATAGAACAAATCTTTGTCTATATATTAGATTTGAGGTCATAGACATTGTTACTGTATGAAATGACCCTGAATCTTCTGGCCTTTCACTAGTTTTTTCTACAAACACTTCTGAAGGACTGGAGAATTCAGCAAGGGGGCTGAGTCTTGTTTCACCATTGAAAGGCCATCAAGAGAGATGATTTTGAACTTTCCCATATCCCTCAAATTGTACCTGTTAGTTTCCTATCTTTCCCATTTTCACTTTGCTCTCTCTCTCT